TTATTCATCTTTTTTAACTGTTAATTTTGTCTCAGGTCCATGAAATAATATTAACAGATGCAACTTTTGATTTTAATAATGTATTTAGTAAATGCTGGAATTAGCAATGCAGTTAATGCAGTATATTTCACAGATTTAATCATACTAATCCCTTTATATATTACATATTAAATTCAAATTATACATATTACATTACATTAGATATATTTTATCAATTTTGTCATAGACTCCAAAACAGATCTATAAAGTCGTTATAAGCAATTAATAAATAGCATGCAAACCTTTTGCGGTAACACCTTACAAAAATTTCCCATGAGTTAACGTTAGTTAATGAATTAACTAACAATGAGCAAACCATTTACACTGCTTATTAATCTTTAAGTGTTCGTTTTTAGATTCACTAAATAACAACTTTTGATTTTAATAATGCATTAATGTAGAAATTACCTGATTTTCTTTTACTGATTTTCTTTGATTTTCATTAACTGAAATTAATAAATGCTAGATATTTTTATTGTTAGTTCTTGTTGACTAGTAATGTTAACAAATGGAACCTTACTGTAAAGTGTTACCCATATTGCCTACTGAAAACTGTGTTACATGACCCCCAAACTTTACTTTAGTGATAATTAGTGACACTTCAATCATCAACATTTCCACTGCAACTTCCTGTCAGCCGTAATCCTCTGCCTCGGGTTTAAAGCTACCTTTAACCCTGACCCTTTTACCTCGTACACACACACTCAGAAACACACATGTGCATATGTTCACACATGCACAAACACACACACACACACACAGCCCAAGGTGATTGCCTTGCTCTCATCAGTGTGTGCTGCAAACTAGCAAAAATGCACTTGACGGTACAAACCTGTTTGAGCGGGTCATTGAGGAGCGAGGTGCACTACAGGACAACATGAAGGACGTGTGGAGTGAACGATAAGCCTATAATAGATATGCATGTTTATTTAAGAACAAATTGTGTAAAGAAAAGAATGCAATGAAAATATACAAAAAGGACAAATCATCACTTTGCTTTACATTGGTGCTTGTGCTTAAGTTGAAATAAAAATTGTGTAATAGATAATGATGATCAATGTATTACTTTTTTTGGCACAACCAAAGTAAGTTGCACTTTTATTGACTTTTTTATTATCTTGAAATTTACCCTGCGCTATAAAAAAAGCTAAGCACGTTTTCACAGACTAAAGCAGTGTCTACAACAAGAGTCTTTTGTGTGTCTCATTTTGCTCCCTAGTTTCATATGTGAATCAGTATATGATGAACGTGCATTTGGCCACTAGCAGGGGTCTTGATCCATAAAATATCAATGCTGATGACTTAATGCCTTGAAGTTTGTACATAAAAATGTAACCGGTAGATGTTGAAAAATACAGTGCTGTTATGAAATATACTCTTGCAGAGATCATACTTAAAGCACGTCAGATATAATAAATGAACACTCAGTTGTGTTTGACGTGCAACAACAAACCTCATTGGTTCTTGTGCATCAAGCATGCACATTTGAGCTTCTGTTTACCATATTTGATGTTTGTTGATTATGTAGACTTTCATAGGTTGAACAAAAATGATGAGAGAATATTCAAACTCAATTTGTGAAGACTTATGAGTCTGCAACATCATGATGATGATGAACAAATGATGACAAAATTTTAACTTGTGTGTGAACAATTCTTTTAATCTTTTTTTCTAAATCTTAGAACCTAAATACTTGTATCTCATTTAAAAGTTGACAGGAGAAACAGGTTTCTCTTTTATGCACATTATGAATGTAATATAGCAAACTGACATAGTGAGTATGGCAATGGCTTTTGTGTTGCATTCTGGGAATTTCTATGGAATAAAAATCTGTGCACTGAAACAATTTCGACAATGGCAGACTCACTTACTAGTGAATAAGGTAGCTGATTAAGATGCACATCTGCTGTTTTTTTGTTTTTTTTTAGTTACTAAGTAATACTATTTTAGTCTTCCAACTTGAAAATTTCAAATTTACTTTAATGTGTTACTTGCCATTTCTTTGTATTTTTTTTTGTGAAATTTGCTAGCAATTTTGGGTGAAAATTGTTGTAAAGTAAACAGAAATCATGATATCAGACCTCCAAAATTAATGGCATCTTTATTAAATGGTATTAAATATGCAAACACACGCACATACAATACAAATGACAATGTTTGGGTGAAAAAGGGATTATCGTCAAATATCTATCTATATAGTCTTCTCCTCCAAAACAAAATAATACAAAATAACTACTCACCCAATAAAATTCAGTATGTACACCAGAAAAATAGTGTTTTTATATCAAAGAAGGAATATATTTTCAATATGTGTTGTTAGCCAAACACAGAAAAAATCAACAACTATACAAATAAAATCTTCGCAAAAGACAACAACGATTGGAAACGGAGCTTATGACATGCAGGATAGAGGAGTCTGTGGTGATGTATTTGTGGGCCGTCAGTCAGCTGTAGGCATGTGCAGAGCTCCCGCGGGCTTCGACATGTCCCGCAGATTTTCGTGTTTTTTTCAGGTTTTACTAGTGCGAGTTTGATTTATTAATTGCTTTGCGTCCCTGACAGATTAAGTGGTTTTTCTTACAGTAATAAAACCAGCCTGCACTTAGTGGTGTCATACTGCGCCACACCACGGTGGGGGAAAAGGGTTCAACGTTTTTTTCACTCAAAGGGAATGAAATGGGACGAAACGTACAATAGCTAGCATGATCCATCTGGGAGTTCATATATCATGTGTTTCAGCCTCAAAGAATAGTGCTAAACGGCCGTGCAAAGGTTACACACACACACAAAGGTGATTTGAAGAAAGGATTCGGTTGAAATAAAACGAAGTCGAAGCATGCCACGCATAAAACGAACAAAAGAAACAATTTTTCTCTGCAAACAGGAACAGAGAAAACACATTGTCGTTTGGCAGAGAGAGGGCACTTTGGAAGGTTTACTTAAATCAATACTACCTTTAATGTTTTCTCAAAATTGATGTTCTTTTTCTATACTAAGCTGACAGATTGTTTATCCATTGAGATGTTGAATGGATAAAGCTAATCTTTACCCAAACTGGACAATCCTGCTTTAAAAAGAGCAACATTTTCTCATGCAAAATCCAGAACTCTGTACATGTTTACACTGGTATTCATACTAACCCGTCCTATTAACTTTTAATGGCAGCAGCTTCATGGATGTGTAAAAAAAGAAAAGAAAAAAAAACACCTCAAAAGGCACTTTAGCGTCTCAGATATATGTGTTTTGGCACAGAATCCCAAGCTACAGTACACAGGTGCACCGTAAACTACAGGCGCAATTAAACAGGTAATATTTACAGGGAAAGACAGGAACGTACCCAGAAAAAAATAAACACTTACTGTTTACTGTACTGGTGCGAGAAAGTCAGTCTGTGTGATTCGGTTTTATACACTGGCGTATCTGGCAGCATATTAATGGCTTTAAATGGCCATTTCAGAGAGGCAGATGTATGACAGAAACATTTAAAGCAATGTTGATCACTGCATCACCATATATAGTGGAAAGTAACTGGACACTTAGGCATAATATAAAATGCCTGCATGTCATTGCATTAGATAAAATCTGCAAATGGGCTCAAATTCATTTTTAGTGACTATATGAAGTCCACAGGTGAACTCTCCAGCTAACAGGGAACGTTCTCAATGTTCTTCCGGTAACGTTAATAGAACATTTGTTTAAAGTTATCTAAGGTGCGTCCTAAATCGCGTACTTATGCACTATTCTATGATGGTTTTTTTTAGTATAAATAGTGCGAGTAGTGCATTCACACTGAAAATTCCAAAAAGAAAAAGTGCACTTTAAATACCCGAATGATGCACTTAAATATCCGAAAAAAACGAAGTGTGGAATGTTGGACACTTCATGCACTCAACTGTCTCGGCTTTAATTACGTAGCGAAGGGGGAGGGGCTATCAGACTCCAATTATGAATGACTAAATAACCTTATATAATTAATGCACTACATGGTTGAGTACATAGTGCATAACTACAAATGTGTACATAGTGTATGAGTGCATAGTGTATAGTGCATCATTTGGGACGCAGCTCTAGACTTTGAAGGGATAATTCACCCAAAATTCTGTCATCATTTACTCAACCTCAAATTCTTCCACACATGTATGAGGGTATGTTTACATGACAACGATGTACTAAAACTGAAACGTTTTTCCTTTGTGTTTTTAAAAAGTTTCGCATACAGAAATGTAAAAAAAAAAAATGCTGTCTATTTACATACCAGACCAGTAGTTGGCGATGTCACTTTATAAATTGTACGAATGTGTACCTAGACTTAACACATAATGCACATGACATCGCCATTTTAAAAAATGCACGTCTTTGTATGGGACAATGACGGTTTTCAAACAAAAACTAAAAAACTTTGAACTTTTTTTCAGACCCCCAAAAGCCGTTGTCGTGTAAATGAAAGGCCAAAAACCCCATTGACTTCCATAGTATGAAAGAAAAATAATACTATGGAAGTCAACGGTACAAACAACTGTTTGGTTATCAACATTCTTTAAAATAGGTTATTTTGTGTTCAGCAGAAGAGAGAAAAAACATACAGGTTTGGAACGACATGATAATGAGTCGCTGAAGAAAGAAGTTTCGATTTTTGGGTGAATTATCCCTTTAATAATGCTCTCGAAACGTTAGCACAAATCATCTATACATTGTTTTCTGAAACGTTTTAGTTGGAAGTTTGTCTAACTTTTTTTTTTTTTTTTTAAATGTAACTGCTTTTTTCAGAATGTTCAAAAAAGTAACATTCCCAAAATGTTTGCTAAACGATAAAATGGATTGTTCTCTTAACATTCAAACAACCGAGGACAGACGTTTTTAAAACATTTTAAAAAACTGGACGTTTTGAACATTCAGAGAACATTCAGAAATAATGCTTTCATAACTTAATGGGAACGTTATTAAAACATTCTTAGAACATATTTTTTGTTAGCTAGGTATGAACGTGATCCACAGTCTGACAACCAGAATGCGTCCAAATACAGTGTCCAGTTGTTTTATCATTTAATACCTAAAAAAGCTTATTTCAGTGAAATGTTTTATCGAGAAGTGTGCTTATTCTATCTGTTTTGGTTATACAAGCCACTTGGTTTGATGTTCTGTTGTTTTGCAATGACATTCACACATTTTTGCGTGTCTAAAGTACCACTTTTGGGGGCCACCGTCAACTCAAAATCAGGCTTGGGAAGCTGTTCAACTGCTCAAGTCCAGAGAGCGTCAAAGTCTTTCAGTAGCTGTCTTTGGTTGTGCGTCAGCACGGCTGCGTTTAGCTAGTCGTCATTGCTTCTGACGGAGACGGAGGGGCCTGTTTTTGCTCCGGGGTTTCTGGACAGACGGATTCAGACGTAGCGGACGTACTGAGATCTTGAGGTTGAGATTGGAAGACCTCCTCTTCCACTTCGGCTGGTTGCATCTCCTCCTCCGCTAGTTTGGCCGCCAGCCGTTCCTGGGCCTCGATCTCCTCTGTGGTTGGGATGGAGTTCTTCTTAGGTCGGCCTTTGGGCTTGGTAGGAGCCTCGAGTCCTCCTTTTAGCACCTAGAGAAACATGGACACACATGAGCTGTGAAAAATGTAGGCCTAGTCAAAGGTGAGGATGGTTATTGCAGTGATTAAGGGAAGATATATAGCCATATGGGCTGGGTGTTTACGCCCGTTTATCTGAGAGGTGAACGTTCTGTTGAACTTTTGTTCCTGCTTGAGAGGTTGATCGCGCTGACGTAGACCTGTACTGTCCTTTAAATTATCACTCGCGCAACCAGCAGCCCGGGGTCGTCACTGTTACACGCACTGATTGTATTGAGTGCTGAGGAGGGCAGCTCAAAACTGTCTAATGGATTTTTAATGATATGTCTCAGAGTTTCCATTTCCACACTCAAAGCTTTGGTGGATTTTCAACACAGATGTTTTATTGATACAAGATGACAGTATTTTAACGAACTAAGCTCGCAAGGTAGACGGTTAGCCTTGAGCGAGCTCTTCTGACTCACCATTTTCTTCCATTTCATGCGTCTGTTCTGGTACCATGTCTTCACCTGGAGCTGTGTGAGTCCCAGAGACTGAGCCAGGTCCAATCTGCACACACGTACAGTAAAAGCACGAGTTCAGAAAAGTGCATAAATCAAACACAAATGAAAGGTTAGCATTCTGTTCCAAATCCTAATGAGCCGCCTACGGAAGGAACATTTGTAAGGCATGATTGTAGTAGTTTAGACAAAATGTGGGGAAATATATATGTATGCACCTTAAAGGCATATGTTTAATTTTAGAGTATTGTATTATTCTTATTGTGTCACCTTTATTAAATTCAGTTGTGAATCTAAGTTTTCAAAGCACCTTATGCAAGGAGCACTATTTCTATGACAGTTACTGCCTAAAAATCTAGTCCAGGAAGTCAGAAACAAACCGGAGCTCAGTGCAAAAATGATTCAAAGAATTAGAATATGGGGGGACGTTGTAAATTACTTGGTTTGATATGTTGTTGATATGTTTATATATATAATTAAATTAAATTAAATTAAATAATTCAGCTTTAAAATGCTGGATGATGCCAGTATGAAGTGATTTTGATAGACTATATATATATATATATATAATTTTTTTTTAATTAAATTAAATTAAATTAAATTACATTAAATTATTCAGCTTTAAAATGCTGGATGATGCCAGAATGAAGTGATTTTGATAGAAAATAAAATAATAAAATAAAATAAAAATCAGCCTCAAAAATGCTAAATATCAATGGAAAATAAAATCTAGATAACAGAAAGATTTGTTCAGACTGAGAATTTTTATTTTTAAAAAGCAGTATTTGACATAACATGGATGATGAAAAAATGCCCCTGAGATTAAATCACAGGGGTTAAATATTTGCTTGATAAATTGTAAATGAATCATATGTAGAGCAAATTATATATATATATATATATATA